AAATATCTAATATGGCGTTTGTTTTGGTTAATATCGAGATTATCAACGCTGATGCTTTTGGAGATATTTCGTAAAAAATTAGTATAAAATATAAAGCAACACTATCAGTACCTGTAATGGTATACGTGAAAATCGTGAAATGTATTGTGACTATTGTGGGAGATGCAGAAGTTCAGGAGACTCTGTCATGTCATAAAGTGCTACAGGTAGGCTGTGAACTTAACATATCGGCATGGTGTATTTGGTAGATTATTTATTTAAAATTGCATGTCTGGATTCAGCCTCTTTATAATCCTTGTAGTTGGCACCGTTGTATTAAGTTGGAAAGGCCAACAAATTGGAGGGGTAGAACTGAGAAAACTAATGGAAAGTGACTAGCTTGTTTGAAAAGGATTATGAATTACATTAGTGTTGTCTGTATTGTTTCAGAATTATCAAGAAGCGGTACAAAGAAGTGAGACACTTGTGTTTTACAACACTCAACATGAATTTGAAATAAATCTATCTATATTTTCATGTAATTCAATTTCTATACCATTGTCAACAGCGTATGAATATTTTTTGAAACTAAATAAATTTGGTGCTTCATAGTTGGTTGGATTTTATTATGCTGAACCTTTTTCTCAGTAAAATTGCTGAAAGAAATATTACCCTTATAGGGGATATTTCTTTGAATATATGTTCATGAAATAGTCCTTCAATATCGGAAATATCATTTTCAGCAGATTTCAGATTATGAACAAACGAAATCGGCCCAACCATCTGACAAAACGTCAACGGTGTTGCCATTCTTAACGTGCAGCTCCCACCACGTGGGGTCAACTGAGGCCTGACAAGGCGCAACATAGGAAATCTGGCAATGTTTTTTGTGGTGAAAAAACGGCCGGCAACACTGTCAATATTTAAAGTGTCACTTGTCTTGATAGTGTCACTTGTCTTCCATACGCCTTTCTTCAACGTCACCGCTGTCAAGCTGCCATTTTTCCTTTACCGCCAAAAATGTGCCGACGTGTGGACTGGTTTGGAACAATGCTACTCCGAAATAATTAATATAGGTAAGATGTGATAATGAAATAGAGCAATTTTACTTTTGATATTTATTGGAATTTAGAGTATGTCGTCAAACCGTTAATTAAGCATGTGTTGATCTCCACTTTGAAAAAAAAACTGAGTAAAATTATCTCACTCCACTCGGTTCCTCTGTGCCTACATTATTTTTTTATAAGTTGTGTTTCAAGAAATGATTTTCAATATTTTCAGTTCCAGTTTCTGTCACCTATGTTTCAAGATTGGAGTGGGTTAAAAAATACAGGTGAGTACCTACATGACACTGATTCTGATAATATTATAAAGTTGCTCAGGGCATTTATTATTTTTCACTTAAATCTTTTTCATACTACTATGGCAAAAACAAGCAAGAAATGGACACGACAGTGCCTATATCCTTATTGCCAAAATAAATACATATTGAATGTAAGTAATTCATATCCCCATCCAAGAAATTTCATCGATTCCCAAAAAATCCCAGTCAAAGGCAATTATGGTACAATGCCTGTGGATTAGCTTCCAGTACAAAATCTGATAACTTCTATATTTGCGAAGACCAGTTCGTACTGTCTGATCATGTTTCCCTATTCACGTTTGAACTGTCTTACAGTTCCAAAAGATGTTGGTCAAATTCTAAGTCAACCCATTAGTCATTCTGATATTGCAGTTTCATTAAGGAATGCTCTGTTGGTTTGTCAGCAAGCATTTGTGATTCTCCTTCAACTTCTGCAGCAAGACACGTAAATTGCCTACCAAAAGAAGTACCAAAGACTTGACAGATGTAAATACAATTGAATACGATCACTGGTATTTTGTGGTACAGACTCATTATCAAGACAAATATACATTTCAGTCAGACACTTCGAGTTCATGCCTTACACAATTAGAAGTCAGTAAAGGTCAATTAACAGAAAGGGAATCTAAAATATATCAAATTCACCGCAACATAAAGTGATGTTAACATCCCCAAATGCCCTACATGTCGAGAAGCATTGTTCTCTGATGAGTTGACCCCATTACAGTTGTATGTTCATTTCAAGGAACAGGACAACAAGCAGAGGCTGACATACGCAAATGGCAAACTAAGTCATCTACTGGATGTTATCCATATAAAACTGTATAGTTTTTTGGATAAGTTTGCCCATTTGCCTAATGTTCAAGCCTCCTTCAAAACAGGTCTGACACAACTGCTTGAAAATGTTCAGCCTTGCAATGTTCATGATGTCCTAAAAAATATTATCAAATGCATCAGACTGACAATCTTCTAATATATTAAACATAAAAATTCTTTGAAAAGACCTGTTGAAACATCTGATGGTCATTCAAGGAAAATGAAAAAGTTGAATGCCACCAGGTAAATCATTTTAGAACATTTGCTGCTGGTTTTTTAATTATTCCATGTACCTCCCTGGATGAACCATCACAAACCCGGCTGTGACATAACTGACCAGGACATTTTTATCTTATTGGGATAGAATTGTGTTTTATTTTATTTCTTAGAATTGTATGTTGAGTTATTAAATTACTATATATGACCTTTACCATATACATACAGGGATTACTCATGTAAAATAAATTTAAAATGTAAAATTTTGCAAATTAATGTTTATTCAGAAGTATAATGTTATGTTATTAACGAAATCTAGTACCCTTTACATACAGATTTCACAATATTTTTGTTGTTGAATTTTTGTTGAGTGTGGTATCAATAGTTTTTTGTAGATCCCTTATGATCGTATATTGGAATTATTATTCAGAAACCTCCAACGGGTGTTTCTGATTCTTCATTGCACTATATTGCAAATGCACCACATTACGTTATCTACCACAATAAAGTTATTTTGTTATTGTTTTATTTATCACTCTTGAACGAACCCAATCACAACTACGCGTGAGGTGTGTGAATTGTTTTTCCTAATGCAAAATTAATTTTTATTATTAGGAAAACCATTCAAAACAACCGAATGAAGATGATAGATGTGGTGAGAAAGTAGGCTACCACGATAGCACCGCCGTATGTCATTGTAAAAAACATGGCGGCAAATGTCATTTGTCAAATTGTTCTGAGTAGGCAGGCGTTCTTTCTGTGTCATATTTGTTCTATCACCAGGAAAACATGGCGACATTCGCGTTAGTGGTTGAATTACACTGAGTTAGCATTCTTTCAGTTGTATATTTTGTGGCTCCCACTTCTTCAGTCTTATGTTTTGTGTGTCTGTTATAACATAACAAGGGGGGTGAAACTCATATTGGCGAATAATAAATAAAGCAGTGTTGCAGGGGCATAATATGACAACCATGCCGCACCCTCAAAAAATGGCGACTTATTCACAACTGACGTTGTCCGATTGGCCAGATTCAAATTTCCGGCCGGTTTCTTCCTGTGCTCTGCAAAATTAACCTTACTTTTTCAGCTTTCAGCATGTCATTTTCTTAACATTTCATTTTAATTAAATAAGGTCCCTATTATGTTATTTGAGCCATATGCATTTTGTTCGGAGTTGTGAAGTATAACATTGTAAGTACACAAAGCTGTAATACCTATGTTTGTAACTACTATAAGACAAACTCCACTTCAAAACTTTTTTTTTTAAGGTGATCGAAGTCATTAGCCAGGCTTCTGGTAGATCCTGACGAAGAGCAGAGATACAGCGGTTACTCATTTTAGGAATGTAATATATATTTGAAGATCGTACCTTTTTGTATCTCCACATCAATCTTTGAACAGTGGAGCATCACCAAGAGTTCAGTAGCTGCCGTTGTCAATCCCTGAGGTCCTGAGAATTAACATAAGCTCAGAGATTACTTCTGATCTAACCACAAGGCTCAGCTCCGAAGGATATTTGCAGAACACAACATTTGTAAGTTTTTATATGACTCAATAACTAATGGTGATTTGTACTGCTTTTTGTCAAAGTTAGTTTTCATACTTCATTTTAAATCAGCTATTGTCAGAGCAGTACGGTCGATATGTAAAGCTCACTATAATTTTAATGCAATCAAAGCCAAGTATTGTTATTGAACGATAACATGGGAGCCCTCAGAGAGGCTGTGGTAACAGTTATCTCGTGATGATGATCAGCACATCTGAGAAAAATTCTTGTGGCTACCCGTGGACAATCATTATTGTTCTAATAAAAAAAGAAATCTCAATTGTAGAAACATCAACACAATTCAATTTTTTTCTAATTTTTGATTTATGCAGGTGCCAACAAAGGCTGGGGAATGCAAACATCTGGACCATAATGATGTTAATACTGATTTGTTTGTAGAAAAATGTATGAGATTTATATGTCAAATATATATTTAGGTATTTGCAGTATATGTTTTTCTTCCAAACCTTTTCAGATTAGTAAGTAGATGTGAGTGATCTTATAACAGCTTGTGTTATTGATGTTGCTATTTTAACATACAAAAAAGCAATTATTCATCAAGATACCGTAAAATGTTAATAACACATGCTGTTATAAGATTTCCCATATCCCACCAAATTTCTGTATATGTATCACTCATTCGCAACAACAGTGACACATTGCAAAAAACTTTGTTTTGTAGGAAACGAGATTAAAAAAATTATTTGTCTTGTAGCTGGTTTTTTTTATATAAATATAACCAGTTATCATTGAGCTTGTCAAAATATGAAGTTTTGAGCATCTTGATATAGAATATATCCTTAGGCTATTATCAACTGAAAAATAAATGATTTTGTTCTATTGTTTCGCATACTTCCTGTTTGTGTCATTGTTTCTTAAACAGATTTATTTCAAATTAAAACAGTCATAAATGGAAGTTGCATTAGTATAATATTGTTTATCAAGTTTCACAGAGTCTTTAAATTAAAAGAAAAAATCCTCTTTCTGTCAAAAAACATTCAAATAATAAACAAGTTCATAAAAATAAATTAGTTTTATTCCTTCCTGCCTAAAAAGTAATAGATCCTTCAAAGATTTAAACGGTAATAATAATATAAATCTTTATTTCAAAATAACAGTCCATGATTACATTGTATTATACACTGTTAGGTGAAATATACGTCAGTGTCGTCAAGACAGAAAAAACAAAGAGGCAAAACATAATAGAGATATTACATTTCAAAATATTCTTGAAGGTGATATGGTTCTAAGTGCATTAACAATAGATAAATACTCTTTTTATATCCTTTTATATATATTTTAGTGCAGCTGTAATGGACATTTTTTTCGGTAATTGTGAGATGATGGACTGGATACAGAAGATTTATATTTCTATTTCTTGTGTTATAGTCACTTCGTGGGTTACCGATAAAATTGTTAATATTTTTAAATGTAAAAATTAGAATCTCTTGAATATATATTGCGGCTACAGTTAAAATTTTATTACTCTTAAATTTTCGTCTGCAAGTCTCTCTAGAGGAAATTTTTAGAATGCACCTCAGCACTCGCTTTTGCACTAGAAAGATCCTATTGGTATCGCTACTATGTCCGAAAAAAATTATTCCAAAACGTACAATGGATTCAAAATTCGCGTAATATACAGTTTTTAGAGTCTTGAGGTCTAGGTACTTGCTTAGTACTCTAATACTATAACATGCGTTGTTTAACCTTTTTTCTAGATGTTCCATATGTTTAGCCCAGGAAAGTGCTAGTAGTCTTTATAACACTTAGGCATTGCTGTTCCTTTCTTGTTACCAGTCTCACTGAATAAGGAAAGCAAGCTTTCAGATTCTGTGTCCTTTTGCTTTTCGATATGTGACAGGTTCTTTTGTTGCAAATGTTTTTCGAGTGTATCTTTCATCCTGATAGGACGATCATTGATACACAAAGTATTCCTGAAAAACTTCTTGCAAATACGAATTCTTTGATCCTTGACATCAAAAGAAAAAGCATTATTGGGTCTTCTTGTACTTCCTTCCTTGGTATATCTATATTTATGAATAACAGCTGTCATACTTGCACTAATAAAGTCGCTTTGTCGTTGTACGCTCCCTAAAGCCCAATACGACTTAAAAATCGCAGAACGTTCATCCCCAGAGATTTTATTCGAACATTTCAATGTACATCTCTCATCACAGGGTGGTTGTAAATTTCTTTTGGGGTAGGTCTTTTTAGTCGTAGCATTTGTATATCCCTCTCCAACATTTCTCAACTTCTTTGCTAAATTTTTCTTCCATTTTTCTGGTCCTAGCTTCCTTTTCTTGCCACGCTCCTCAGAACTCCCCTTTCTCTTTTCAACTGAATCTTCAGTCGCGCTTGTCTCAGAGTAACAACTGTAACTAGATCAGGAACTAGATGCAGAGGAACCTGAAGACTCGCTAGCAAAGTCTGCATCTTTCACAGAGTCATCGGAATATTCAATAACTGCAAATGCATTTACGTACTCAGCTTGTTATCTGCAATAAGGTTTCTTGAAAGTTTCTACTAAATGTACAAAAAGAACATACCTTTGAGATCAAACATTTTCTCTTTATAACTTGGACCTTGGCTATTATTAGTCAACTCTTTGAGTTTTCCATTTTCGTTCTCTAAAACATCTATATTATCAGAAGAACAGGCATTGCTGGGTCCCAGAGCAATATCTAAGCTTTCTGAAAATTATTATGTGTTGTCGGAATTTGCTAAATCGACACTGCTATACTACATCCACCCCAAACTTCTATTTCAAATCTACAAAAATACCTGTGGAAAGAACAGAAGGGTCAGTGTTCATTTGTTCCTGGTAATTGAGATATAGATAAGGACCTATTGGTGGACTGTACTGCAGTACTAATCTCATTCTCTCTGGTATCCTCTCCAGGAGATTCATTTGAGACAGGCGCTACTGTCAGATAATCGGGAAATCGCTGCTTTAGATTCATTAGGCTGTAAATAAGACTTTTTTGGATTTCCTGAATATCCTGTCATTATTTGGATTATCAAAATGAATACTAAAGTATCCAAACCTATTAGAGATACACGAGATTCATTGTGCATAATTTCTTCCCCGACGCCTGCTTCGGCATTGTTGATTATTCGTTTCAAGCGGCTTGAAAACATTTTCCGAATAAGTAATGTACAGGTATTAACACCTAAAACGTGTCACATTTGAATACGGTTAACAACAATTAAGTATGTACATGTAATAAATTCAACAATGTCACAAAACAAAATATCACACAGAAAAAAATTGTTATGGTATAGACATAAAACGAAATGAAACACTATTGGATAAAATATCTCAAGAGAGCGTCATCCAAATATTTCAGCAATAATGACACATTGAGAAATGGGACGGTATTTCACAAAGCGCATAGGGTTAATGTTTAAAAAGTTATGGACTACACCGACATAAATATGGAACTATTGTGTAAAATAGGATACTCATTCCTTACCTACCAATACAACTTTTTTGAGATATGTCACTATTTCGTAAACTCGTAAAGTCATGGGATATGCACCTCACGACCAATGTAGCAACCACAAAACATAATACTGAAGAAGTTAAACAACGGCAACACCGTTGACGTTTTGTCAGATGGTTGCGCCTAGAGGTGGCTGATATCGTGATTTCTGGATATCGGTGATATCCGTGATCGTGACTTTTTGATATCAGTGATTCAAAAGCGTGACGTGATCACGACTTTCGAGTAACGAGTAGGGTATGACTTAACTGATACCCTGAGCTCACTGTGATAAAGTAGCATCAAACACTTAAGTTTGCGTTTGAAATATGTAGATACTAGGTACATATGTATAATAATAGTCTTCTGAAATGAAAACTTGTTGAATATATTACTATGACAAAATACATTCGAGTACGATAACCAAACAAAAATAAAGAATACGAGATTCCACAAAAATAAATATATAAATGGTATTCTAGTACTATATATAAAGTCTCAAAAGCCAACAAAAATAAATAGAATGTTCTATCATACTATAGAATAGTAAAAGCAATAACTAAATGTCTGCCATGTACTTCATGTTAGAGTTGAGAAATAATAACATTTCAACATTTTTGGTGCTCAACCTAGTTCGCCTGTCGCTTATAACTTGCCCAGCTTTCGAAAACAGCCTTTCACAGGGAACTGAAGTAGCTAAGTTACACAGTTGTTCCTGTGCAATTTTGGATAGATATGGGAGCATTTGTCTGTGTTCTCTCCACCAGAGAAAGAAGTTGCTTGTTCGAGGGATGATTTCCTCTTCCAAGTATCTCTGCATTTCGATAATTGCACGAGAAGTGAATGTTCCCTTTGGTTGAGCACTCGCAACGATTTTATCGAAGTTTCCCCAAATCGACAGTTCTCCATCTTCCTCTTGATTCAATGACGATTTGCTCTCATTAACTAAGCTTTCAGTTACGTGATTTCCAAGCTCAGAATTGTCTTCTCGTATTTTCCTTGCTATTAGTTCTATCAATCTTTTTTTCGTGTTTTCAGCAGCAGTTTTGTCAAAGAACGCAATAACCTTGAATTTGGGATCAAGAAACGTGCTATTAGATAAGGTACCACTCCTTTGAATATTACCAAGGCGTTCCTGTAAGCCTGAGTACCAAACTTCAACCACATTGTTGACTGTTGCTGTGAACCGCTTCTGATTCACCAATTTCACAAATACGTTTTGTAAGCCGGAACAGATGGGTATCACAAGGGAAGTGGTGCAATATGTATCTCCAGATAGAGCTCTAGACGCATCTTCGAATGGTTTCAGCACAAGACATAGTTCTTCGATAATGGTCCATTCCTCTACATTTATCACAGGTAGTTCCTTGTCAATAATAGCAACAGTGCTCTTAATGGCTTCTTCTAGCCGAATAAACCTCTCTAACATATAGTAAGTTGAATTAAAACGAGTAGCCACGTCAAGAATTACTTTAAGAGGAGTTTCGATTCCCGTGTTTTCTTGATACCTCAGGAGTTTGTTGTTCGAAATTGTACTTTTCTTGAAGTAGCGTACTATTTCTCGAACTTTTTCTAAAATCAATGTGATCCTTTCGTTTTTTAATCCATCCTTGACTATAAGGTTGAGCGTGTGTGCAACGCATCCCATATTTTTCCATTTCACTAGCTGTAAAGCTTTTTGTATGTTTGCTGCATTATCCGATACAGCAAAAACTATCTTGTCTTGTATATCCCACTTAGTGGCTGCTTTTAGGAGAAATGCAGCTAGATTCTCAGCTGTATGACCTTTTTCAAATGCAGAACACTCAAGGAGAACCGATATCAAATTAAACTCCTTGTTTAAAAAATGTGCAGTTACAGCAACATAGCTAGTGTTGGTGTTATTTGTGGAAGTCCAACCATCAGTTGTGACACAAAATGTTTTTCCAGATGAGATCAGGTTTTTTGTGTTGGTCAATCATTCTTCATAAAGTGCCGGAATTAATGTTTTTGAAATGATGCGCCTTTCTGGCAATTGATATGATGGATTGAGGGCTGCAACGAATTCCCTGAAGCCAGTATCAGCAACTATAGAGAATGGCTGAAGATCTTTCACGCAAAGATAAAGTAACTTCCTGTCAATTTTATTTTTCTGTCTGGCACTAATTTTTGTTTGCAATATGTTTGAAAAACTATCAACTTTCGTTTGAGTGATTCTAATTGGAGCATTTGCTTGGCATGCTATCTGAGTTTGCTTGGAGGTAGATGGGTGATTGTCAACAGCACTCTCCATAGATTCTCCATTATATGTCTGAAAAAAAATAAAAGAAAGGATTCAAATCCCCGTTGTGTATTTATATGTAGTATTCCACAAACGTTGATTTTGATACCTATAAATAATTAATGATGACAGACTTCAAATAATAAGCTATGAAAAATCCATGAAAATTATTGGAATATTATAGTACCAAAACAAAACTCTTAGAGATTAAAATCACTCCATAATGTAGGGCTGAAAACAAAGTCTAAAATATATTCACTTACCTTACTGCGATATATATGTGTATCACTCTCACTAGCGGTGATTGTTGATTTCAGGGTAATGGTGGGATGTCTTTTGTTTATGTGTTTTTTCAAATTGCTGGTACTAGTTTTGTACGAAAATTTGCACTTGCACATATTACATATTGCAAAGCTTTCGTCAATCGGCTGAAAAAATTGCCACAATTCGCTTGATTTTTTTCTCAAGATTGGCGCCATGGTATCACGTTTTGATCTGCAGGCGAAAATAATCTCAAAGTAACCTAAAATCCAGCTTGTTTTGGTGTACACTGCCCCTTACGCTGTACTGTTACAATGTTCAATATCGCTTACAGGCCATGCGGCGGCTTACGATTTTCGACCTCACGGCAGCCCGCATGCGCCACGCGCGACGCATGCGAACGGCTTGCATATTCAAAATTCAAACAGTGCCGTGAACGTTGATACCGTGAACCGTGATGCGTGATCGTGATCCCATCCCACTTCATCTTCGGCGACGCGGGTGCCGGGCGGATGTTGGCTCGGCAGCGCGCTTTGCGAAGTCGTGATCACGTCACGCTTTTTCACGACATTCAGTAACAGCCGTTATCCGTGATTCCAAGATATCAGTTACTGGATCACAGTTCGTGAAATATCTGACATCACTAGTTGCGCCGCCTACTTGCCTGGAGATCTGGAGGAACTATCGAAGGAAATCAAAGAATGAAAGAATGCACCGGGACAGTAGGAATGTGCCGAGGATTTAGTTTGTTGTACAATTTAAAATCTGCTGAAAGTGATATTTCCCATATTGAAGAAATATTTTATGACCATAGACGCATAAAATATCCTCAATAAAGGAAATGCCCGATTCAGCAGTTTTGCTGGTAACCAATTTTGGGATAATAAAAACAAATGCATAATTAATGAAATATTTATTAAATAGTTAAATATACGAATAATAAGTAATAATTTATCATCACAGTACATTAACAATATACAGGATGACTTCGAAGTTGAGTCATTTATTTTAACATTGAGTAGATCTGATCAAAAGAAATGTTTTTTTCCTTTACCATTTTTCTGGTAAAATTAAAGTAACAAAGTTATAGCCCTTTGGAAGTTTGAGTACCGCCCTGTCTCAATAATAATATTATGTGCTCGTGTTTGGAAACAACAGATATAATCCGCCTTATCCGTTCATCGCATCGGAAACAAAAAAGCGAAAGAATTTGGAACGATGTTTTTACAATTATTTTCTTCAGTTGTATACAGTCAGTGTCAGTCGGTAGTCGGTAACGCGTAAGTGAATAGTCGTGTCTGTTGCGTGGCTCAAATCAAAAATGGCACATGTTTACGAAAATGCTGAACTTGTGGACATGGTTCTGGGAGTCTTTACAAAATGCTGCCGCAGCATCACGGATCTATGCGGATCGGTTTCCCAATCGAGTGCAACCAACCCCTCGTGTCTTTGTTAATGTAGTGCAAAGAGCTCGTGAATCAGGTGACTTAAGACCTCACAGAGGAGATCATGCCGGTGCTCCAAGACCGCACGATCAAATAGAGCTAGAAGAACAAATTTTAGAATTAGTAAGTGATGATCCAACAGTAAGCACCCGACAAATTTCAACTCAATTGGCGATTAGTCAATATAAAACTTGGAAAACTCTACGTGAAAATCAGTTCTATCCGTTTCACATACTCGTACAAAAAGTGCAGGCCTTACAACCGGAAGATCATGAACAAAGGGTTGACTTTTGCAATTGGCTTTTAAATAAACATCAAAATGATGACAAGTTTTTAAATCAAATTTTAGTGAGTGATGAAGCCCTCTTTACTAGAAACGGAATTATTAATTCACGTAATTCTCACGTTTGGGCTATTGAAAATCTCCATGAAATAAGGGAAACCAATTTTCAACAGCGATTTCAACCAATCAACCTGTGGGCGGGAATTGTTAATGGAATTTTAGTGGGGCCTTTTGAATTACCAAATCGCTTAACTGGTGAAAATTATCTTGATTTCTTGCAACACAATTTGCCTGGTTTACTGGAAGATGTGCCTTTAAATATTAGACAAAACATGTGGTTTTTACAAGATGGGGCACCACCCCATTATGCAAGAAATGTGCGTGAATTTTTAAATAGACAATTTAATAATCGTTGGATCGGCCGTGGCGGTTTTGTACCTTGGCCGCCAAGGTCTCCGGACTTACATCCTTTAGACTTTTGTTTGTGGGGTTGGCTAAAAACTCTAGTGTATGAAACACCGGTTAATACACGCGAAGAATTACGTGCTCGAATTGAGGAAATGAGTACAGTGATCAGAAATCAACCAGTGATTTTATTGCGTGCTTGTAAAGAGACATGGCTAAGACGCGCCCAGCTGTGCGTCGAGCAAAACGGAAATCATTTCGAACAGTTTTTGTGACATGCTTTTGGGCGCGCAGGTCCGCACTGAAATACTTGTCGGGAGGATACTTTATAAAACAAGGTAACATTTTTTTTTATTTTTTTTTATTTTTACACACATATTTTGGTTTATCTTCCTTCTACAATCATCTGAAAATTAATGACTCAACTTTAAAGTCCCTGTATAAAGGTATTTTTAGACATCCGGAGCTTTCTCTATATTATTAAGTGATGTTTAAAAAAAATACAAAACATACATAAGTAGCATAAAAAACGATGAAAAGGGACCCTCAGTAATCAAAGGAAGTGTTTAGCAAGCACTATCTATTGTTAATCCATCATGAGGTATATTTATCACTGAAACGTAAACATTCAAACTAAACCAACATAAAA